GCACGCACGCACCAGGAAAACAGGGATCACACCTTGCTCCTGCTGGTTTTGAAATCCTCCCACGTCCCTCCGTGAAAAAAAAAAAAACCTGTGGTCATCTGATTTAAAGCCTTTGGAGCCGTTTTCTGCTGAGATCCATTTCTCCATCATGGAGGGTGYGTTAGGGGAAGGTTCAGCAGGGCAGCAGCTCTGCTGGCACAGGCTCCTGGTGGCACAGGGTGGTGGAATTCCAATGGAAAAAGGGATCTGGGGGTGTTGGTGGTGGGGTCKGAGCAATGGGGTGAAGCCCAAGCCYGTGCTGGGCTGCTTTCCTGTGTGATGTGGCCACTGAGCCTGGGTTTCAGCTTTTTGATAAAAAGCACCAGGGTCATGCCAATGTGGTATTTGCCACGCAGGAGGGAGGYAGGACACCAAAAGGAGGGATTTTCCAGCGTCCTGAGTTGCCCTGGCAGGGCAGGTTTYGGGCACGTCTGCCTGTTCCCAGGTTAGGAGATGAGGAAATGCCATCAACATCTTTACCTGGTTTAATTCCCAGACTCAGAAAGTCTGAGAGGTGCTAACAAGCCGTGTCTCTCCCTGCCAGATGGTTTCTGTGGRGTGATCAGAATGCAGAGCAGGTCCCAAAAATCCCACTGGACCTCACAGAGCTGCACACCCTTTAGGATCCCCTTACCACAGTTTCTAGAGGAGTGGTGGTTCTACCTGCCAAGGCTGTCCCACCTGGCAACCGCAGCCTGGAACATCCCCCCTGCACCACAAGATGTGATTTTGTGATTTGCTTGGCTCTGCAAAACCCTGTGAGCATCAATGGGAACAAAACCGGGCATGGTGACCCTGCAATCCATTAGAAACTCCTCATGAGCGGCCATAAATGCTAAAGAAAGTGCGAAAGTCAAGAGGCAGCAGAGAGGTTGTGCTCACCAAGGGCTTTTTTGGAAGTGCAGGGAAGTGCTGGGAGGGCTGGGATGGGGGACAGGCACCTGCTCCTTTTGGGTCAAGAGGCTGGTGAGGTTAAAGGGGGTGAAACAAAACCAGAGCCAGAAGGAAAATACCACGGTGAGAAACACAGGCCAAGGGTCAAAGCAGGATGGGAGGGGATTTTCAGCCTTCCAGGAAAGGTGTTCAGTGAAAACAAGGTGACAGAYTGATTCAGGCACGAGCAGTGAGTCAGGAGAGCCAGGGCCAGTTCTGCCACACTGCCCTTTGAGCAGACACCCACGGTGTCACTGTCACCAGGACAGTTCTCACTGGGATCTGCAGCAGGAAGGACTMCCCTCAAGCAGCTCCTGACTCCTCACACGGCTTCACTGCATCATGTGCTAGCCCATCAGCGCTTAAAAATCCTTCCCAGTGCCTCTGACAGGAAATGCTGCATAAAAACTTGTGCAGGGCTGCCAGGAAAACACGACATTGAAGGGCGACGGGTGACGTGACCGGCAAAGGCAGCAGCGTGAGGGTTTGCAGGGCATCACCAGCAACACAGGAAGCATCCCAAAGTGGGAAGATTATCCCTTCCAACACCTAAAAAAAGCTGCAGAAAGGCAGCTCTCCACCTTTAGCCATAACCACTCTGCAAAAGCAGAGTTTCCCATCAGGGGGTGTTAAAATCTGAGTCACTGCCGGAGCTGGGACAGCAAGGAAGTGTCGGTGGAGCAGGGGACAGGCAGCAAGAATAACAGTGCTGGGATGTGGCACAGTGCTGCACTTTCCCTTCATGCTCACGGGCAAAAGGCAYCTCTGCTCCTGCTAACGAGCCTGCYTGAACTCAGYAAGCAGAAATGAGAGCAGGAGATGATGGAACTTCTGCTAACAGAATGCACAAAGGCTTAATAAGGAGCAGTGTTACAGTGACCAGGCTGTGCTCCTGCTCCCCCCATCACACAGCTGTGCTTGGTGGCACAAATCACCTCCACAAATCATCCCCACCAGRGCATTTCTGCTGCCAGAACAACTCCCATTATCTGTTTTCCTTCTGTAGAACAACTTCTGCCACTTTTGAACAGAAGCATCTTGCAGGAGATCAGAGAATCATGGAATGGTTTGGGTTGGAAGGGACCATAAAGATAATCCAGTTCCAACCCCCTGCCATGGGCAGGGACATCTTTCACTATCCCAGGGTGCTCAGAGTCTCATTCAGCCTGGCCTTGGACACTTCCAGGACTGGGGCATCTTCAACTGCTCTTTTAAGAGAATGTTTTATGCTGAGTGAATCGGTCTTTATGGAGGAAGAGGATGCAGGGAGGAAGAATCCTGGGAAAATTAGGGATGGTTTTCAAACCTGCTGCTCCCCTCTGCGTGGTGGGTTCTCAGCTCCTTCAGCCCCTTGCTAGCCCTGGGCTTTGTGCCCATCTCAGCTCTGTGTTTCCATCTTGCAGGCAAGTCTCTGGTTCTCCTTGTGGYCTCCTTGTGTCTCTTGCCCATTTTAACACCACACAGGATCCTTTGCTCACAACATTCCAGCAATAACATGCCCTGATGGCCAATGAGTGATCCAAACAGTGTCCAGTGGGTTCCATCCAATGGCTCAAAGGAAACCCACACTTTTATATAGACCCATAAAGAATATATTCATGGAGTAATGGAGTTTTTGTTTCTGCTGGGAACCCCTTGCACCATGCATCTGCTATGCCCTGGGCACTCGATAATGGCTGTACCCCAACCCAGGAGAGTCAGACCTGGGTCAGGGCAGGATTGGGTATCAGTCCAGGCTGGGGGATAAAGGGATTGAGAGCAGTCCTGCCAGACTGGGGGTGCTGGTGGAGGAGAGGCTGGGCATGCCCTGGCTGGGTGTGCTGGGAACCCAAACACCCCCTGTTCCCTGGG